GTTTGTCAGTCGAGCTAGTATCTCTTTCAGTAACTAGTAACTCTTTCACCTTCCCTTCTGGAAGCACTATCATAGCTATGAATCTCTTCAAGCCCAGATATACCTTCTGACCAATAAATGTAATTTATGCTTCTCACCAAGCATAGTTATGAAAAGTTCAGTCATCTAGCAGTTGAAAGGAAACCAGGAGCCACGGCTACTACTTGGAAAAAAATAAGAAAAATAGCCACTCTTCTTAAGGTAACTCACAACCATCATACCTTTGTGCTAAATCGATAGAAGAAGGTTAAAGCCGTCCCAGAGTTTGTGCGTCGGCAGTGATTCCTAAATGTGATAATGTAACCACGAGGGACTGCTCAAATTTATTAAAATATTAAAATTTTTAGTGCTCTAATTAAAGCATTGTTTTACGTTAATTAAATGCATTTATACACAATCATATAGCTGTATATTCAGTTATTGTAAACTGACATCTGCAGATGTGCATTAATTTGTTTTTTTTGCTTTTAGTCTTACGCGCCCAGAGTGATGGACAGACATCGGAAAGGTAATTACGCTGCCCTTTGGTAATATTATGTAAAGTTCAGTATACTTATAATATGAGACAGTCACATTCAATGGCCGCTTATCTTTACGGGAGGCAGACGCTTGGCGTTCCCGATCTTATGCCGTTTGAACTCTTGCGGAAGATAATTGGAATCAAGAGCTGGGTCCTTCAATACACTAGGATATTATTGAACTTAACCACGTTCTCTGGCCGCTCGATTGGTCAAATAATACCTGTTTTGCCCTTCTTTCAGAAAGCATTTGGAAAACGTGCCCAAACCATCGCAGCTGTGACTTCTCTACCTGAAGAAGCAGCAGATGTACCTCAATGTTTACTCCCACATTTGCATTCCTGACCATGTCGAGACGCGTTAGCTGAACGATTCATGTCAGAATGAACATTTTAACTGCTTGTATCCCACGTCAAGTATTTTCAGTCATGGTCAATGACTCATCACAGTAGGTGAACGTTGGGATGAAGATCGACTTGAACAGCGAGAGCTTGCGCAGACTCTGCTCTGCTTTTGTCACAACTGTTCAGGCTGAACACCGTTTTTCACGTTTTTCAGAACACCGTTATCCTTTGCCAGTCCGTTTCTTTCTCCCATTTTTTATCACCAACAAACACGACTCCAAGGAACTTGAGCTTTTCCACTTCTTCCACTGCTACGGGCAGGAGAACGAAAAAACACTAGACTTTTCGTTTTAGATGCGTTCACACGCATGCCAGTCACGTCGCACTCGGCTGCAAACCTTTCGAGGGAGCAGTGAAGGTCAATTTCAGAAGATGCTAATAAAACAAGGTCGTCTGCAAACAGGAACCATCTCGAGTTCACACCTCCTACACCGATACCCTCATCTTCTTGGCAGCTCCTGACTATTCTGTCCATGTACAACACACAAACAGGAGAGGGGACAGAACGCAGCCTTGGCGGTGACGAGTACCAACCTTGAAGGGTTTCGACTTAACGTCATTTACTCTGATGCAGCGCCTGCTATCAGCATATAGTGATTGGATGGCCTGAAACAACTGACCATCAATCCTCTATGTTCATAGGCATGCCCATAGATTGTTACATAGGGTACCGTCATATGCTTTCTCTGGGTTTACAGTGCACATCGCATGGGAGAACTCCAGTGATTTCTCAACAGTTTTGCGCGGGGCAATATTTGGATAGATGTGCTTCGGCCGGGCCGGCCTGAAGCGACACTGCTCTTCTTGTATCTTGGAGTCAGTTATTTCGCGATATCTCGTTTCTAACACCTTTGCATAGACTTTACCTGGGAGGCTCAATAACGTAATGCCCTATAACTGAAACACTCCCTGTGATCTCTCTTCCTGAATACAGGCACAACAACTCCCGTTCTCCAGTCCGCTGGTATCTTCTCCATAGCAATTGCGGTTTGGCAAACACTTGTAAGCCAGTCATGCCTTGTTCGATTGTTCGCCTATTGCATTGAGCATTTCGGGGCAGATTTCATCGTTTCCAGCAGCTTTCCCATTTTTCAAACTTTTCACAATATCTGTGATTTTGTCTACGCAGATAGTAATACCTGCTCCCTCCTGCTTTACAGGCGGGTCTTCCTGCGGTTG